ATTTTTCTTTAATATTTGACATATTTTAAACGAAAAATAGGGCAAAATGTAAATGAAAAGTTAAGGAAACAAAGATTAACACTTACATGATAAGAATTTCAGATAAATTTGAAATTTAATCAACCAACTTCACGTATAGAAAAACCCAAATTCAGAAGGAGTTCCGCGAAATCAGCCCTTATTCAAAAATAACTTTTAAACAATGAATGTTTGATATTTATCTTTTGCCATATTAATTTATCTAGGTGGCTATTATTTATCCAGGTGAAAATTCGCATCACCACTTTTGCCAGCTGTCGCGCGCGTGTAGTTAGGTGGACAAAAAAGATGTACGTGATGGAGGAATAAACAAGTTCGAGATAATTAAAATGGAATATAATTTAGGTGTACACCGAATAAAAAACTTCAAGTTCAGTGGATTAATGAATACTTTAGCAAAAAATATATGATATTTATGCTAGTGCCGGTTGTACTCATTTGGAGTAAACGCTGAATATGAAATTTTTTCTAATGGTTTCTTAGTCTTGGTCTTTTATTATTTAATTAACTATATTTGCTACTAATTTATATGCCTATCTGACTCCATTTGTTACTGTTTACTGCTTGTCACTAATAAAATAAAGGGGATAATAATCCGGAGTAAATTGACTTTATGCTACTTTACTTGTCTAATTTTTTTATTTTTTGTATTTGACATTTGGTATTCATTTTGTAGTTTTGAATAATTCGAATTCACAAGAAATCTTTTATATTTTGAGATAAAGCACTTTCTATAAAAATAGTTTATTATACATCATATATTTGTCGAACCCCTTTCTAGTCTTCTTATCCTTAGTTCCCCTTTTCTTTTCTTCTTGCCCTATCCAATGTTAATTAGGCATGTTTCAGCATGCTCTTTGATATTTTTGAATTTCAAACTAACATAATTTAATTAATTTTGCCGGATCTATACGAAATCAAAATGGTCATATATTCTAGGATGATTCAACTTTAATAAGTTGAGAAAATATTAACAAATTTATTATATTGTATATAGCTTAGTCTAACTTCATTATTTTCCACATGATACATTCTTAATCTTAGAATCTAAGCTATTAGTTTTCAGCACTTCAAATGATGATGTTTTCATAAATGTTGACATTGGCAAATTTATAATCTAATTCATCATATATATATCTAAGCACATGGAACTAGTCTTTTCATTGAAATAAGATGCAATGAAAAAAAATAACTTTGCTAATGAAACATGACAACTATGTTCACATTATTTTACAAGGTATTTGTTGAATATATCTAATGTTTATTTCACAATATCTACTTGAAATTATAAATTAAAAAAAGAGGAACAATTTAGATATATTACATCAAAAGGCGGTGCCTTCTAGTAGATAAAAAATATTTGCGCATGAAAGTAAACAAGTGAGATCAAGAGTGGGACGTACAAATTGATATTGTATCTATTGTTGTTTTTTGATTAATTCGATTTTGCACTATATAAATTATATTAAAGGAGAGATGCTGCCTATAACATTTTTTTCATTTTCAAATTACAAACTTGAGTCACTAGACCTCTGTAATTAAGAGTGAAAGTCCGTAGGTATTATCTGTTTTTCTAAGTTCCAATAGACAACGAAGCTATAGCTTGTTAAATAGCAAATTATAGAGGATTTATGAAATTTTTCGTTTTACGTGATGACTATATTTATATTAGCTGTTGATTGATCAGACTAATTATTCTCTCTCTTTTTCCCTCGTTGCCTTCTTCTTCTTTTTTTCCGAAATCTATATCTATTCAAAGGATCATATAGTATCATTCACAATCCAACTTGAGAATATTATATCCCACGAAAAAACATACAATTTGTTGCCTTCTGTTCAACAAATTATATAACTACAATATTTTTGGCATGAGTGTCCCATCATATACGTAGACTGTACATTAAATAAACTTTCTCCCAATTTGAGTTACGCAATATCTTGATTGATCATTGCATATGTGTTTAATAAATTAATTATCAGTTGAAATTTGGATATCAACTAGTATATATTTTATACGTTTTCAAATTCGCCATCACAAGATAATCACTTGCACTAATCTAAAAAACGTACGAGTACGACTACAAGACATACTTTTTTGCTAAAAAGAAGATAACATCATTCTGTTTGAAAGACAAAACGTGCGATTTTATGCCATTCATGTTTGATTATTATTAGGGAAAATTATATAAAATAGCAAACTATTAATTCAAATTAAATTATATAACCACAGTTTCATTTAATTGTAATCTGTAGCAAACACTTGCCATTCGCCTCTCTCCCCAGAGAATCTTGCTCGCCAGTCTCCCTCACCTCTCTCACTTTATACAAACAAAAATGTATAAATTGCGTTAGTGTTTGTATAAAGCGAGAGAAAATTGTATATACACTTACAAATACATATATTTGCGTCATATACACTTATAATTATACAAATACAGATATTCCCCTACCCGTTCTCTTTTGCCTTTCTCGCTTTATACAAACACAAATTATACAAATTACAATGTATAATTTGTGTTGTATAAAGTGAGAGAGAGAGATTTGATATACAAATGTTTTATTTCGATTCAATTGTATATAAATTCAAATTGTATGCAGATATACAAATACAATTATTGATACATATACATAGTAATTACATATATACAATTATCTAACCGATATACATATATTATCGCTGCGCCTTTATACAAACGAATGCCTATCTGCGATTTATACAAATCTGATGCTCCATATCAAACATAAAATTTATTATGGAGCGCAATTATGCAAACTATTGCTATAACATACAAATATGATTTTTATGTTTGATAAACCTATTATTATAGTTAAATAGATTAAAGCCCACCAGCCCAATCAAAAGTCAAAACACTATCCAATCTAGTTCCAACATGGACGAACAGATGCAACTTGGCTAGACAATTCCACAATGGAAATTTGGACTAGTCCATATTTTACAAGACATGTTCATATGTTTTTTTATTTATAAAAATATGATCATTTCAATCAGGTGTCATCTATTTCATAATTCAAATTCCAATTATTGATAACACAAAAAGTCTAATATGAATTGAGTAGATTCTTTTGAATTTTTATACGTGTAATTCCCTCAATATATATCATAAATATTCTTACATTTTTTCCCACAAAAAATGTTTGCCTATTAATGTCGAGTTAATTTTTTCATAAGTGAATACATAATAAAACGTTTATAGTTAAATTGTGTGAACCCAATATCATGCGTATTTAAATTTCGATTAGAAATGGACTTGACCCCTCATGATTTTTGAAGTGTTGAGATTTTCCCTCTAGCTATAAGTTTGATAATGGTTCAACACCCAATAAAAAATAGTTTTCTTTTTATTTATAATAATAAAAGCTAAAATAACTTATTTTGATAACAAATGAACAAAAACATTTTAATTCTCAAACTATTTTAAGAACGTGAACCCTGAGTACTCAATATACAATTAATTAATATATGTATTCTTTTAGATGGAGCATATAGGGTAAATTTGCAGAAGTTATGTTAATGGGGGTGGGGTGGGGTCTAATTTAAAATTGGGTTCAAGAGTTCAAAATATTTTGGGCTGATCCTATATATATGATGCAAAAAGAAGAAAAATGAATATAATAAGGTACTATTATATACACATTGTAAAATATACATTTTGATTCAATACGCACAATAGTTAAATTTTGAATCTATCATTAATTATTGTTCCAACAGTTGTCATACAAATGCTTAGAAAGCTAATTTAAAAGGAGGAAAATTATTCCTGCCATATAAAGAATCTTGAAATTTGTCTCGATCCAATGTGAGATAACTTTCTTCAACATAGTTAACACACACACATATATTAATTTATATATATATATAGGTTCCCTTAATTATACGCACCACGTTGAATCATATACTTTAATATTGATCAAAGTAATTATACATTATATGTTATTTTCTTCCAACACAAGCAAAGTGATCAAGTAACATTCATCAAGGTGCTAGTCAAAGGTTGACAGCAATTAGCAAGCTAAAACTTAATTAAATGATAAATTTTATATTGCTTAAATTTTTTCAAGGCCATATATGTAATTCATCGAGTTGCTGAAATATAATGTTCTTCAAGTTTCCATAAATTTCACTAGCAATTTGTTCTTAAATGACTTGACTCAAAACACTTTTCCTTTCTGTCCAATTTACATGCATGATACTCAATTGCTTGCTTCAATCAACAAGTAAACATATTAATATATCAAAGTCTCAACCTTTAAAAGCTAACTTTTTATCATGTTCTATCATTGATATTAATTAGCGATTCATGATTTAAATTATATGAGTTCAATCTTTAAAGATTTTAGTGGACGTTTGATTATGGAAATAATTTTTTTTCATTTTATTTGAAAATTTTAAATTAGTGTGGAAATGGTGTTTGACCATATATTTTCTACAAAGCATATTTAGAATTTAGATGTATTTACAAATAATAATTTATACCCCTTTCTAAAAATGAGCAAAATCACCAAATTTAACTAACTTAACTAAAACATATTATCAAATTCACTCTAAAAGAATAATATCTCAAAATAGATATAGATTAAATATCACATACTATTACAAATATTTTTCACTTTATTTGAAAATTTTAAAAATTAAAATGTGTTTGTTTATAATTTTTGCAGATAATTTTGCTAGTTTGGAGGTACTTTTTCTAAAAAAAGCATGAAATATTGGGTTATTATTAATTAGGGTAAAATTTTGAAAAGGGAAACATAGAACCCGATTAGCCATGGGAATTTTTCACTTTTTTTTCCAGAATTTATTTTCACTCTGTTTGAAAATTATCTAGAATCACGTAGCACATAAATAGATAGAAATTTAAAAATTAATAAAAGAAAATTAATTTTTTGTGCAAAACCTTAACTACTACTATCCGAGAGTTAATTATAGCATTAAAATACGAATGAAAATCCATACTGATTTTTGTTGGAGTAAATAAAAAGCTGTTATAGTCAAAAGTGAATGTGATTACTCTTTCTGGAAATAACCCTAAAATTGTTAGCTTCTTCATCAATGAAGGAAAATATTACTGTAAATTGAAGCAATTTGCATGTTCAAATTACTTCTCACAATCTGAAATTTAACGATTTCCGATCGATAAGCAGCGCCGTTTGAACATGTCTGGGTCAAACGACGGTGACAAGAATGGGAGGAAACGTAATCTTCCTTCATGGATGAGTTCAAAACCCGGTTCAAGTGGTTCGGGTCAGAGTAAATCAAATGATGAAGGTGAGACGACGGAGACAGCTGAGCAAGGGAAAGGCAGACGCAAAACCAACCATGGCAAAACACTTCCCGACGAAGCTGAGAACGAAGCACATTTTTCAAATTTCTCAAAACTTATGGTATTGTAGAGTTTTCCCAATTATACGAGCTGCGTTTCTTATGTTATCGCCCGAATATAGGGAGTGACTATGGAGGATTTGAATAGTCAACCCGAGTAATTTTAGCTTCAGTTATTATGGAATGCGCGGAATAGTATACGGCGGAATGCTTCATAACTTCATATAGTTGATAGAACTAATTTTGACTGTTTTTGTAATGAATTTGGCTGAATAGGGAAGAATGAATGTAGAAATTTATGTTGTAGACTTGTACTGATTATTATGAATAGGTCAAATATTGTAGAATGAATGCTAATGATTCATACAAGACTGAAACTAATTTTAGTTGTGTTTGCTATGAGATGGATCGGATCGCTTAGAATGAATATAGAGGCTTCATATAGTTGACAATTTGCTAATTTTAGTTATGTAATCGGTTGGATAGCATGGAATGACACAAATATATAGGATTAGCATAGTCAAACCCAACTAATTCTAGCTGTGTTTGCCATGAAATGTGTTGAATGGACTGGAATGAATACGGATTGTTTCATATAATCAGCCCAAGTGATTTGGGATTATGGAGTATGTTGATTGATTGATTTAGCTCGTTTGTTGTTCTATATTCTGAGTGCTGCAGGAAGGGGTTGTATTTGTCCTATCAGGTTTTGTCAATCCCGAGCGTGGTACATTAAGGTCCCAGGCTTTAGAAATGGGAGCCAAGTATCAACCTGATTGGAACTCGGAATCCACACTCTTGATCTGTGCATTTTCCAATACACCAAAGTTTCGTCAAGTTGAAGCAGATAATGGAACAATTGTATCGAAGGTTTACCTCTTCCTTTTGCTGTATAACTGATGTTGATTTTCTGCAAGTTCATTATGGTAGGAAGGAGGCTGATGTCCTAGGAGATAGTGATGTGTCTAGTATTATGTGTTTCAACGAAATGAACGAAATCTAACTGTGTTGTGCTACTTGTGTCTTCTCTGTTTCCTATCCCTGTAGACTTCAGTTTTGTCATTTGTTTTTGAAACAGAACTGTTTTGCTTGATCCTTTCTTTTGTTCCAATATTTCTGCTTTATATAACTGCATGATTCATAATTTCCTTGTGGGAATGCATTCTATTTTATTAATGACATTTCCTCCTCAGAAGATGATACTTCAGTCTCTATTTGAACATGGGAGGGTCTTAGACCTAGATGTCGATCTTATTCTTTTGGTATTTCTGCAAGATCAAGGGGTAACTTAGTTGAGAGAGAAAAATCTTGGTGTAAGTCTTTGTTTATTCTTTATCCTGACTTACTTCCTTTTGTTTTGGTGCGTGGGGAAACCGTGCTTTGCACTGTATCTCGAAGTATTAGGCATCCACATGTCATGAAAATGTGTGATAAACAGTTGGTTTTATTTTGCTTAAGTTTGTTCACGTTAAGCACCGCTGCCTTCTTTATGTGGGGACATGGGTTTACTGTTGGAGTTTGATTTTTTTCTTCTACAACCTCTACTCTTTCTAAGTCTAAAAGTTTTTGCTTGTTTTGCACAGGAGTGGATAACAGAGTGTTACAAACAACAAAAACTTGTTGAAATTGAAACTTATCTTATGCATGCTGGCAAGCCATGGAAACGTCAAAGTGTCTCTCATGAATCCAGCCAAGGTTACCTCTCTCTGTCTTTGTCTCTCCTCCTCACCCCTTCCCACCCTATCCCAAAACACTCACTGTTTGTGTGTTACAGAAGGACGGGGCTCATTAAGCTCAATATAGTGAATGATACTTACAGTTAACTGATCCATTTTGGTCCTTACAGATCAAAAACCATCAACATCAAGAAAATCTCAAACAAGAGGAGAGAAAAGTTCACCTTTTAAGACAACTACTGCTCCTTCATCTGAGGTACTTATCTGTATTGACACAGGTTCACCATATATAGATTCGGAAAAGGATTCAAAATCAATTCATCCGGACTTGCTTTTGTGATCCACATTATCTTGTTGTGACAGGAGGTACATTCTGATAAAGTAAAAGATGGCTTCTCTCCATATAAAGTGAAAAAATGGGCTATAGATGATCTTAACCGGACAATTTCATGGCTGGAGAATCAAGATGAAAGGGTAAAGTGATGTATCTAATTTTCTGGAATCAGTTGTTGACTTGTACGTGAGTGTTGTCAATCTGACTGCTTATCTTCATTTGGACACAAACTAGCTTTGTGTTCTGTCTTATTAAAAAGGAAAAAAAAATGAAGGACCTCTGTCTTCTGAAAGAATAGGCCAAAAATTTTATGCTTCTTTTTTTGGGTAAGAGGGGGGGAGGAAAGGAGGTGAAAAATGTGTTGAGGGAATTGCGAGAAATAGTCCATCCAAGTATCTGAATGAATACTTAATCCTGCATAATTGTATGTAATTATTTGTCGCAAGTTCTCTTACTCCATCAAATTTGATTTTGATACAGCCAGAACCCCATGAGATGAAGAAAATAGCTGCTGAGGGAATTCTAACCTGTTTACAGGATGCCATAGATTCTCTTAATCAAGGGCAGGTAAATTATTTTTTGCTACAATTTTCCACATTTTTCTATTGAACGTTTGGTTTATATTGAGTAAGAGTTATGTTGCTGGTCTCTTACTTGCCATTTTGGATATCCTTAAGTAATATATAGGACTGCCGTGGGAAAATCTTAGAGGGGGATAGTATCTCTCTTGTCAACATAACATGTGCTGAAATTTTTTCTGCCTTATCACCATTTGAAACTGCTATAGTTTCGCCTCAGGATTTTCTTCTTGCCAATTTCCTGGTAATGTATTCTGTTGCTAACAATTAAGTTGCACCATTGATGTTGGACTCTTTTTCATGTAGTTGACCCCAACTAGTTTTGGGGTGATGCATAGTTGATTAATCAATTATTGATGTTGGACTGTTCTCACAAATTAGTTATTGCTATGGATGATAAATGAAGTAGCATTTCATGTTTTACACAAATTAGTTATCGCTGTTTATATTTACTTTATAAAGAAAATAAATAGTGCTCTATGACAAATAGGTAGCATTGCAGTTTTTAATCTAATTAATTTTTATCCTAGGCAGCTTCTTTTGTTGGATATTACCATTATTGAACTGCATTTTCATGAGAGAATTTGCGTTGATTAAGTAATTGGTAAATACTAACCTGCATCGGGTGTTTACTGTGATTAAGTGATTTAATGTAGTAAAAATAGTCATTAATTAATCATGGTCAAGTGATAAAAGTGTGCATACAAACACATGTCATGCATCTATTGGTTTGGCGTAAACACCCAGTGCAAGTAAGTTTTTACCTAATTAATTTTTCATCCCACCAAGACCTTTTGTTTTCTGAGAGTATTCTGGAATCACAAATACATTATTGTACATGAAGGAAGGTAGTGAGAGTGAAGGCAGTCAATTGACTCGATTCTAACTGTAAATGTGGCGGTAGTAACCAGTGTGGGTATAGTCTGGGTGGACATTGGATGTTCTGGCAAGCATGGAGGCATGTTAGGTTTTTGGAGGGTCTATTGGGTGTTGTTGTTGATGGTTGTACTGTACAGGGGTGGCTAATGATAGGAAACTGGGAATGGCGTTAAATGACGACAAAAGTCTGCTGGTTTCCGAGTCAGTCAAAACAGGTGGCACAGTTACATAGAGCTGAATGAGCAAATGCTTACATCTTGTAGCAGACATTTTTAGCATACTGGGCAGAACTTTTTGTGCTTCCTTACTTGAGTCCCATCAAGTGAGAACATTAAGCATAATGGGTTGGAATATCAGTTTTTTTTTTTCATACCAAGTGAATAACTTCAACAGGGAACACATATTCTGACAGATGATTGACCAAGATGTGATGAACCCATTGTAGAACTTTTATGGCTGTGAGGTTGCCCTTATAAAAAAATTATGAAAACATGGTTGTTTCTTCCAGGGAGAAGTTTGAGTTGCTCTTTTGAAAGTACGTTCTTTGTTAAGGCTACAAGTGTCCTTTGATCTGTATTTCAAGTTGAATGAATACTCTCTGTCCTAGGAAATGGAGGGTAGGTTGTAAATTCATTTGCTTAGCCTATCCTTTGAATGTTGTGCTTTCCAATGGAGAAACTTTATCATGTCTTGAGTCCTTGAACATTCTAAGAATTCTAGCTGAATTAATGTTGATTCTCTGGTACAAGAATTGGTGGAAATTTTATTGGAAGATTTGTAATATAGTAGGTAATATCAATTAGTTCAAGCTGTAGTGATTAAAAAAGTAATCACTGAAGTAAAAAAGGTTTTGGCAGTTGCTTTTCTTTTCTCCATATTTTGATGATATGTTTGACTCATCCTCCAATTTATTTATGTTTTTTCGTGGTTAATTATATTCTTGTTAACTCTGTAGGATATGCGTCAAATAACTGAACAGTGGGAATGCATCCCTCGTGCCGTTGAGGAGCTGGCAAAGTTTGATGGTAGTTGTGTTGGTTCAGCTACAATGCACAAGGATCTTTGCAAACAAGCTGCGACCTGTAAACAAATTTATGAGCTGGAGTACAGAAATAGAGAAGACGATGAGCTTTCGAAGAAGAAAGAGCAGCAGACTCGTGTAAGTGGAAAGGCTGGTGGCGCTGCCAAAGATGCTGCTGCATATGACAGTGATGATACTGTTGAGATGACAGAAGAGGAAATTAACCATGCTTATAATGCCGTAGCATCTACGGTTAGAAACACTAAGCGAGTGTAAAACTGGGAGGTAGAAACACTAATCTTCAATTCCTTTTAGCCTGTGAATGGAGGAAGAAGATGATAATTTTATATTTGAACTAAGTATCGACATCCAAGAGTTGTCATCTGTCACTAACCTGTTATAAAAAAGTATACAAAAACCCAATTACATACTCTGGGCTGGATCTTCCATCTTTTTTGAGATTTTTCTGTCAAGTTGGTTTAGGTCCCAAAAAATCTATGTACCAATAACTTTGATCCTCGCTACCTCAATTTCTTTTTCTATCTTTATTTGTTTTCTATGCTCGTTTTAGTTTTCAATCAACATTCTTTTAATAAACATTGTTGTCCGAATCAACTTACGGGCACTTGATTAATTATATGGAAAACGTACTATTTTCCACCAACGTATGTATCAAGTAATTATGTTCACTCAAACTTTGAACGAATGAGATGAGATCATATGATATTTGTGCCTGCAATGAAATTTTAATTTTGAAATCTCATGCTTCTCAGTTCATTCCATTGATCATTGGTGCAATGTAAGTATGCAACACATGTCAATTGTTTAATTGAAAGGAAAATTACAACTGACTTCGTTAATAATAATTTGAGGAAATTGAGATTATTATTACCTGAGCTGATAATCTTTTCGAAACAATCTCTCTATCTCCATGATGTAAGGGTAAGTTTAAATACACTCTACACTATCCAAATCCACTTATAAAATCACATTAAACATGTTGAAATTGAGACCATTCGAAGAGTTGTGGAAGACTATTCCAAATAAATTTTATGGGCTCATTTGGACATGCGTTTTTTTTTTTCTTAAAATATTTTTGAAAAACATTGTTTGATTAGCCATAAAAGTTAATTTTTCAAATGGTCTTTTTTTTGGTCCATTAAATATCAGTTTTTTCAAATGTAATGTAAACACAACTTCAACTTCAAACTATTACATTTTTTTTCTCTCTCAAATAAGCACTACATCCATGTCAAAAGGCCTACCTAATTTACCCATTTTTTGCAACTTTTTTCTTCCTTTTTCCACCTAACCTTATTAGGAACTAACTAACGTAATAAAATCGTAAATTCCCCATGTAACCAAATTACGCAATTACTCAAATACCCCTGCGGACTCCCCAGCCCGAAAGCTTCAACTTGACTATATCTCAGTAGGGTTGCAGCAGATAAACGCCACCATCTCCGCTGTATCTTTTCCCATTCACTGTCTCACTACCTGGAATCTCCTTCCTCTTTCTCTCTCTAGAACCTTCGCTATTCAAAAATGGGGGCTTCGCTTCCTGCCAAAGAGGCCAACCTCTTCAAACTCATCGTTGTAAGTTCTTCGTTTCTCTCAAAAAACCAATAATTCTTTTTCAATGGAGTTTCGTTTTTTTTTTTTTTTTTTATGCTCGTGTTCACTTTATTCAATTACTTTGTATTCATGCCAGTTAATAGCCTGTATTTTATGCTAAATTACTTCAGGGACGATTGTACGGTACTATATTGGTTGCATGAATTTTATCTGTTAAGTTGTTTATGAAAATTATGAATTTGGACAGGCTAGAGGCGTTTCCGTTGCAATGCGAATTTAAGAATTGTAGTACAATCGTGAATTCAGATGATTTTGTGCTGAACTAATATATAATCATGGTCCAAAATACTTTTGGGGCTGGATTGTCATGTCATCATTATAAGGAATCATGATAAATAGTCTATTTCAAGACTTAAGTTTTAATCTATCGAAATCCTCCTCCTTTATCTCTCCAAGAATTGATAAGTTGCAATAAGAAAGTAAAAGATTGAAGTTTTAGGTGTGTCTAACGGACTAGAACCATAAGTATGGTGTGGTGTTTGACAGAGCTTGTGAAAAAAAGTGTCATATGAAATTACTACCAAAAAAAGGCGGGGATTAGCAAAGCTCAGATAGTGTTTTTAAAGGGCGGGCGGTGGGACATTTTACATGATACATTGCAAGGCATAAACTCCAAGGCACGATGCGTAAGCCTAATAATTTATAAATTATAAAAAAGTATATAAACTACAAAAAGATAAATAAAATTAAACTATAGAAAATTCAAGAAAATTATAAAATTAGTGAAAATGTAACATGTGCACGAACACTACAATTTTTTTTTTTCATAATTTTTTTTTTGAAATTGGTAACGTTGTAGTCTCAGCATTAAGGACATGTTGGAGACCTCCAAAATATTGTTAATAGGAATCTAGGCTACTTACAATGAGCCTAAAAGATCTATAATAGAAGAAAGAAGGTGCAAATCACACCTAGAGAAATAATAGAAGATCGATTGAGATGGTTTACCCATGTCCGACATAGAGTCCCAAATGTACCAATTAGTAGATGCAACAATATGATGATTGGAGTTGTTGAAAGGCAACAAAGTAAACCTAAATATCACATTGGAGGGAAGTTATTACGGAAGATTTGTATTATGAGACCTACAATCTCTAAGACTTAGCTAAGAATACAACGTTATGAAGCAGAGATAATGAAGTCTAAAATATTCTTAGCTAAGATCTATATTCTTGTTAGTGGTCAATGAAGTGAGTTAAGAACCATGAAACCTCAGGTTCAAATCTTAGCAGAGACAATAACACTAGGTAATTTCTTCCCATCTATTCCGGCCTTGATGGACGAAGTTACCTGTTGCTGGTGGGTGGGTGGTGGCAGTAACTTGTGGAACTAGTCAAGTTGCAGGGAAGCTGGCCTAGACACCACGATTATCAAAAAGAAAAGAGGCTATGAAGCAAAGGCCCATACAAGCGATGACAATAGGTTAGGGTTGTGTTGATACTTTTACCATTAGGCGTGGGTAGATATAAGTTTGATATTAAGTGAACTCCTAGTTTTGGAGAACCCCTAAAAACATATTAATTACCAGTATTGGATTGACTTGAGTTAGAATATAGCTGAATATATGGAGCATTTATACATTTCACAAACATATAGAGGATTTATATTGACAACACCAACTTTTTCAAAACTAACGAGAAAAAACGATGATATCAAACCTTTTCAAATTTGACTAATAGCACTTTTGCATGTAATTTTCTTGCAAAAGGTTATTATCAATTATTTGTTACATTATTTATCCTTATTGAAATAATTTTATTTTCAAAAATTGAGGAATCCTTGTCCAAATTCACCCGGAAAATCAGAAAAAGGAGAAATTATTTGCTTGTGTGTGGTGAGTAATTTTGGAAGGAAGGGTAATCACTAATGTTTCAAAAGAGTAAAGGAGAACATACTCAAGCTAAAATCTACTAGCTTTCTCTTTTGACATTTTGGTGTAAAATGCAATGTATGTGACATGGATAGCATATGAGAGTTATTCTTTGCCTCACATGTTAGTCTAGATAGGAACAAAATTTTTGTGAGGGTTTCTGTGGTCATTTCATAGCACAAGCTTAGTGCTACTTTTGAGTTTTGATCAATAAACCTTTTTATTTTACCTACCAAACGAAAAAAATTCATGCCGAAAGCTGGGTGCTTTATCTCATACTTCCTTTTGTGATTGAAGGTACTTCACTTCATATTTGTACTATTAGTTTTTCTCTTTAGGTATTTTTGGGGTGCAATGCAAAATGTATATTATGTAGGCAGCCTACCAAAGTCTAGACAGGAACTGATTTTTTGCAAGGTTCATGTTGTAATTTCATACCACAAGCATTGTGCTACTTTTGATTAAAAAAACTTCATGTTTATTTATCAAAACAGAATTCACGCCAACACTTAGATGTTTTTTCTCGTATCCTGAATCCAGGCATTCTTTTTAGTAAAATATGACATATAATCCTTTTTGTACTACTCCCTCCATTCCATTTTATGTGAGGTAGTTTGACTCGGCACGGAGTTTAAAAAAGAAAGGAAGACTTTTAAAGCTTGTGGTCTAAAATGAATGATAGAAATTTGTGTGGCTATAAATCATTTCATTAAGGGTAAAATAGACATTTTAAAGTTAAATTGTTACTTAATATAGAAATGTGTCATCTTTTTGGGACTGACTAAAAAGAAAAGTAAGTCACAGAGGAGTAGATTATATGACTATTTAACATGAAATATTCCAGTTAATTCATTATGACTGGAGTACATATGACGTCCACTCCCCCTCTTTTTGTTTATTCTCTTTCTAATTTCTTGATTACTGTTGGCTTAAGTAAGTCTAATGTTGAGCCGGATTTCTTAATTGTTGCAGAAATCATATGAGACAAAGCAGTATAAGAAAGGCTTGAAAGCTGCTGACACTATTCTCAAGAAATTTCCTGACCATGGAGGTAAATTCAATTCTACAAGGTGCACATTTGATTAGAAGTCAAAAATTTGAGCTCCTTGTTCATGATTATTAGGCAGAAATTTCAATATGGTTGGTCTTTTATTTTCTTTTATGTATACATCATGCATTTTCAACTATAAAGCCAATGTTACCGTGTTAGGGTTGTTAGATTGAGGTACTTGCTTCCTGAAGTATTACCTTCTTCTTGTGGTGGATGTGCCTGAAAGCAGTGAGATATGAATCACTATCTGGGAAATGCAACTAGTTTTTTTTTATTTTTTTTTCATTTTTTTTTAAAACATTTAATATAAAACATCTATCAGGAGAATATATTTAAGTATTGTTGCAGTTTCCTCTTATTCTGCTTGCCTCAAGGTGATGAAGAGATATGGCAACAACCTCCACTTCCTTGTCTTCCACCCCCCCGTTAAGGAGCCTCCACTTCCTTATCTTTTTTGAATCCAATAATTGTATAATTTTTTATAATCAAATCTTTAGTACTACTGGAACTATGTCAAGTCTGAGTCGATATAACATTGCTAGGCCCCCAAGGCCTAGCTCAAGTGGCAGAAGGTGGAGGATTTGTGGCTTAGGTCGCAGGTTCAAGCCCCACACCATGCAAAGCGAAGCCCGGTATTTAAGTGGAGAAGGGTAGAGGGGCGGGCCCATTATCCACCGAGTTTAGAAGGCTGTGATTGGTCCAAAGGGCGGGTCACAGACGGATTTCTCGGTTATCAAAAAAATAAAAAAATAACATTGCTAGTATAATACAAAAGTCTTAGTTGTTTCTGTTTAAAGTGGTACTGTTCACCCTATGTGAACTTAGTGTCCCTAGTCAAGAGGTGATTATAGAATAAAACAGAAGGCTGAGTGTGTGAGATGAACCAACTCTCTGATCTCTATT